CGCTGCCGGCCCATGCCCCCCTGCAGGTGGGCCCACCTCCGCCCCGACATGCGGCTCCCCGGCAGAGCGGCCCCCGCTGGCCACAGATGAGAAGATCCTCAACGGCCTCTTCTGGTACTTCTCTGCGTGCGAGAAGTGTGTGCTGGCCCAGGTGTGCAAGGCCTGGCGGCGTGTGCTCTACCAGCCCAAGTTCTGGGCAGGCCTCACACCAGTGCTGCACGCCAAGGAGCTCTACAACGTGCTCCCCGGGGGCGAGAAGGAGTTCGTGAGCCTGCAGGGCTTCGCAGCGCGCGGCTTCGAGGGCTTCTGCCTGGTGGGCGTCTCAGATCTAGATATCTGTGAGTTCATCGACAACTACGCGCTCTCCAAGAAGGGGGTCAAGGCCATGAGCCTCAAGCGCTCCACCATCACTGATGCCGGTCTCGAGGTGTGCCCGACTGACCACGGCCGGGGGACAGGGCGGGGCGGGTGTGGCCGGGGGCTCAGGTGACAAGCAGCTGAGGGTGGCATAGCACCCTGAGGGGCAGGAGGGACAGGACTGGCTACATGCCTTGGGGGTCCTAGTGGGAAGCGAAAGTATGGGTTCCTTGGGGCCAATCGGTGGTTTGGTGGTTAGGACAGTGGGATCCCACATGGTCGACTGCACAGTTCTAGTCCTAGACCCGGCAGCCTGAAAATCACATGCGTGCACACATGCATGTCCAAAAATCTGACTGGAGGGGAAGGTGGGGAAGGGTAGGAGTGTGCCCTCCCCATGGGTCTGCTTTCTCTTCCTCTCCTCCCCCATAGCTTATGTGCCCTCTGGCAGAGAGAGAGGGTCCCTTGTTCACAGGCAGTCAGGGGTTGAAGACAGTGGCTCCCGGGGTTTTTTTGCCGACCTGCCGATGCAAGGCCTTGGGTGGGGACGACGCTGGGAAGGGTCCCCATCAGCAAGGGGGAGCAGTCGGGCAGGACCTGGCTCTCGGTATTCGGACAGCGGCTCTGGCACTGCTCTGGCCAGACGTGCTGGAAGCCCTCTGTGTCCCACCCTCCTGCGATGCGGGAGCCGGCTGGGCGGCGTGCTCGCTCTGAGCCGCCCTGGTGTGCTTCCGCGCCTGCGCTCTGAGCCCGCGGCTTCCCGCCCCCCAGCTCCTCCGCCACTGCCTCCCATCCACACCCCCACCACGCTGCCCTGGAGGGGACCAGCCAGACCAGGCCCTGACCCGCCCTCGCCCCCCTCCAGGTGATGCTGGAGCAGATGCAGGGCGTGGTCCGCCTGGAGCTGTCCGGCTGCAATGACTTCACGGAGGCGGGGTTGTGGTCCAGCCTCAGCGCACGCATCACCTCGCTGAGCGTCAGTGACTGCATCAACGTGGCCGATGACGCCATCGCGGCCATCTCGCAGCTGCTGCCCAATCTGGCCGAGCTGAGCCTGCAGGCCTACCACGTGACGGACACGGCGCTGGCCTACTTCACGGCGCGCCAGGGCCACAGCACGCACACGCTGCGTCTGCTGTCCTGCTGGGAGATCACCAACCACGGTGTGGTCAACGTGGTGCACAGCCTGCCCAACCTCACGGCACTCAGCCTCTCCGGCTGCTCCAAGGTCACAGACGACGGCGTGGAGCTTGTGGCCGAGAACCTGCGCAAGCTGCGCAGCCTCGACCTCTCCTGGTGCCCCCGCATCACCGACATGGCGCTCGAGTACGTGGCCTGTGACCTGCACCGCCTGGAGGAGCTCGTGCTGGACAGGTGTGTGCCCCCGGCCAAGGCAGGTGAGAGTGGGGCCACCCCACATGGGGAGGCCCACCAGGGCAGGGCCGTGAGGTGGGCAGTCTGTGGCGCTCCGGGCAGCGTGGTGCTGCCGAGCAGAGCCAGGCAAGGGGCTGAAGTCTCCTCCCAATCCGGACCTGGCAGGGCTTGCGTGGCAGGAGGGGGTCTGAGCCGAGGGGCAGGGTGCAACCGTGGCAGTCTCCCTCTGCTGCGGCCACAGGTGCGTTCGGATCACCGACACAGGCCTCAGCTACCTGTCCGCCATGTCGTCCCTCCGCAGCCTCTACCTGCGATGGTCCTGCCAGGTAGGCCTCCCTGCCTCGGGGCGGTGGGACCCAGCGGGGTGCGGGGAAGCCCCGGGCCACCGCCTCCGGACCTGCCCCCCGGCCCCACCCATGTCTGTAGGTTTCTCTGGGTCCCACCACATCCAGCCGCCACCCCGCGCAGAGCTGTCAGGATGCCCAGGCTCCTCGGAGGCACATCAGCTGCCTCCTGGCTCTGTGAGGGGCCAAGAAACTCGTTGGAATCCCGCCTCCTGCCCCTCTAGCAGCTCCAGGCCTAGGGCCGAACCCAGGGGACGGCCCCCCCACCCCCGACCCCCGCACGCACGAGCAGAAAGTTACCTCGTCCCCCACCCCTGCCAGGTGCAGGACTTCGGGCTGAAGCACCTCCTGGCCATGAGGAGTTTGCGTCTCTTGTCTCTGGCAGGTGAGACCCTCCCCCTCCCGGACGGTGACCACCCTTATGCAGTCTCGCTCTCCCAGCTCTGCCGCGCCCTCTGCAGAGTCGCAGACGGCGCCACCTAGCGTCGGGCCCGAGTCAGAGGGAGGCGCGGCGAGGTCGAGCCCGCCCCGCGCCGCCCTGCGCGCTGAGCCGCTGCCGCGCCCCCGCAGGGTGCCCGCTGCTGACCACCACCGGGCTGGCGGGCCTGGTGCAGCTGCACGAGCTGGAGGAGCTGGAGCTGACCAACTGCCCCGGGGCCACGCCCGAGCTCTTCAAGTACTTCTCGCAGCACCTGCCCCGCT